TTCCCAAGCTTTGCAGACCGCTGAGAAGCCGCAGCCATCCTGACTGGGCGCAGCATCCGCAGGTTCAAACCGCCCCGCGCAGCGCAGACGGACGCGCCGCCAAACCACAGGCCGGCCTGCGGTGCACCTCGCCTTCAAACCCGGGGAGAAGCCTCTCGGATCGCTTCCTTCTGACAGGGCGGACCGCGGGCGCCAAGGGCTGCGTCAGGCCGGCAGCTCCTCCTGCAGGGTCAGCGAGGCCTTGGCCCACGGCGGTGTCTGCCTCCCGCACCCGCAGAGCGCGTCCCTGTCTCCCCAACACGACCAACTATGACTCACCCTCAGCCATCCATTTCTCATTTCGGTATCTCTGCGGCTCTGGAGTTGGAACTCAGGAGCTCACGCTTGCTGAGGCGAGCACCCCACCCTGTCCCTCCAGTGAGTCCTCAGATGGCGTCTTGGGCAGCAGTGACGGTAGGCCTGCGCCACCATGCCCAGCCTGTCTTTGAGATAAAATCTAATAAAGTCGTGACTGCCTGAGTCTTACACGTGATTTTCCTTTATCTACAGCAATGCCAGCTGCTTGGGAAGCAGATTCGGTGCAGCTGGCTTTCCACGGACACATTCTGAGTGGTTTATGGTATAGAAAACTTGATAAAGATTTACTGGCTCTTCAAAAGAAGTCCTTGTCAGAATGAGAAGATGCAGGTGGTTCAGTCAAGATCTACGGATTATGCTTCAATGTCCACTTACTGGATGATTAGTAGAAATTTATGTTATGCATGCATTTTAGAAAGACTAACAGGTCTAAGCAAAAGTTATTGTTAAGAGTGACCTGGAGTTAGATGAGAATTTGGTTTACTAAACATGAATAAATCAGAGAACTTCATGGTCAAAGTTGGGAAACACAGTACCAATAGTGGTACTCATGGTCAATTTCCAAAGACACCAACACTTCATTCCGGATAAATTAATCTCTTGGTTTGATTAAAAAGAGTCCAGAGAGAATAAGAATTGTGAAAATCTCATCTGAGCTCATATATGCATGGAATAGAAAAATAACTCTGGGGAAAAAGAGAAAGCCACTGGAGTGCTAGATGCATGTAAGTGTGTGTCGGTGTCTGGGCAGCTGAGTGGGACACGCGTTTAACTCCGGGCTCTGCGGTCCAGACGCCGGCATTCTACCAGGAGGGAGGGTGTTCCCACCTTTGTGTCTACACATATGGCACTTCCATTTCCTGCTGCGCCCACGGAAGCCACGCTACGGATCTGATTTCTCCCGCCAGGGCCACGACTCAAATCCTCTTTACCTGTCAACAAGCTTTTGTGTTCTGCTCCTGCAAAAAACACAGGCCAGCAGCAATCCAAGAGACACGTAGATCTGCACACACGCGCAAAACCCCTCTGGAGGACGCAGCTCTGCACACGTGTACACACACACACAGACCCCAGTGGAGGACGCAGTTCTGCACATGCACACATGTACACACACAGACCCCAGTGGAGGACGCAGCTCTGTACCTCCATGTGCACACACACACACACACACACACACACACTCACAGACCGCAGTGGAGGACGCAGCTCTGTACCCGTGTGCACACACACACACACACACTCACAGACCGCAGTGGAGGACGCAGCTCTGTACCCGTGTGCACACACACACACACTCACAGACCGCAGTGGAGGACACAGCTCTGCAAACACACACACACACACACACACACCACCGGAGGACGCAGTAATCACAGCACTTGTCACGCTCTGAAAGTGCAGCACAGGGATAAAGCCGCCGTCAGGGACCAGGCTGAGCACGAACGCGGTCCCTCCTAAGCCAGCACCACACGGCGGAGTGGTGGACCGCACTTAAATGGCCGGCCAGGTCTGCACACGCGAAGGCCTGACGCACTACCTGACTGAATCAGCTCCGCACCTGCCGAGGCCGAGACTCCTGCTGCTGGCTGAGGGCAGCGACCTGCCTGTGAGCATCAGCGCAGAGGAGGGGGGAGGGCGAGGAGGGGGGGTCGGAAGAGGAGGAGGAAGGTCGGTGTGAGGAGGAGGAGGGGGAGGTGAGGACAAGGAAGACGAGGAGGGGGAGGGGGTCGGAAGAGGAGGAAGGTATGTGTGTGGAGGATGAGGAGGGTCAATGTGAGGAGGAGGAGGAAGGGGAGGGTCAGCGTGGAGGAGGGTCAGTGAGGAAGAGGAGGAGGGTGAGGAGGAGGAGGGTCAGTGAGGAGGAGGAGGAAGAGGTGGGGGAGGGGGAGGAGGAGGATGGAGTCTCTGAGGAGTGGGCCTGGCGGTGCTCCAGTGGGGCCTGTGTCGCCCCCTCCTCCGCCCCTCCCCCCACAGCGTTGCCCGTGCTCCCCACCCGCCCAGCGGCTCCGCCCTGGGGCTCCTCCTCACCTCTGCGCCCATGGGAGCACTGCTGGCCACTGTGCGGCCGGGCAGCCGGCTAGAGCACTGCGGTTAGCGCTGGGGAGCACTGCTGTCAGCTGGGGAGCACTGCTGTCAGCTGTGGAGCACTGCGGTTAGCGCTGGGGAGCACTGCTGTCAGCTGGGGAGCACTGCTGTCAGCTGGGGAGCACTCCAGTGGGGTCTGGGGAGCACTGCTGTCAGCTGGGGAGCACTCCAGTGGGGCCTGGGGAGCACTGCTGTCAGCTGGGGAGCACTGCTGTCAGCTGGGGAGCACTCCGGTGGGGTCTGGGGAGCACTACGGTTAGCGCTGGGGAGCACTCCAGTGGGGTCTGAGGAGCACTGCTGTCAGCTGGGGAGCACTGCTGTCAGCTGGGGAGCACTGCTGTCAGCTGGGGAGCACTCCGGTGGGGTCTGGGGAGCACTGCTGTCAGCTGGGGAGCACTATGGTGGGGTCTGGGGAGCACTGCTGTCAGCTGGGGAGCACTCCAGTGGGGTCTGGGGAGCACTGCTGTCAGCTGGGGAGCACTCCAGTGGGGTCTGGGGAGCACTGCTGTCAGCTGGGGAGCACTACGGTGGAGTCTGGGGAGCACTGCTGTCAGAGGTGTGTTCTGCTCTGTGTCCCTGGGGCCTGCTGGCCTTGTGCCTGGACTCTAAGCCAACACTCCTCCATCCCTGACGCTTCTCCTTCGGAGCCCAGAGCAGATCGGCTACGCTTCCTTGGATTTCTGAGCTCTGCTCTTCCTCTCTGTGTTGCAGACTCATATTTCTTGTCCTCATGGGCCGAGGGCATCACAAGCACAGCACCTCCCCCTCCCCCCTCCACACCTCCCGGCGAGGGCAGGGAGATGGCGTGAGCTCTCTGCTGCCCTTCCCTAACCCAGCCCAAGTCCACCAGTATTTGAAGCAAGCAGGGAAAGGGGAGGCCACTTTGGAGGTACCGGGAGAGTCGGGTGTGCGCTTATTTCTGGACAGCCTTTTAATGTGCGGAGCGTGGGCGCGCTGAGGTCGCCTGCTCTCTCACGCAGCTTTGCTGGCGTGGCTGTGTGTGCTGAGCGGGCTCTGTGCCAGGACAAGGCCTGGTCTGCACTGTCAAAGGTGAGAATCCAGCCGCGATGCCCACAGGGACGCAGCAGGTGTTTGTGGAAACAATCAGAGACGTCTAAGAAATGAACGGCACGGAGAGGAATGTGTAAAAAGGCAAGAACAAAAGTTCTCACAACCACCTTCATTCATTTTCTGGGTAGAATTTTGGAGAATGCTTATTTCTATGGCAGGGTTTAGTCATTTTAGAAATCCTTTATGCATCTAATCAGCCCAAGTGGAGAAGACTGAGACAATCTATATTTGACGGTGTTTCTGCACCACACCTTTCTACTTCATGATGTTACAAATCTCTAAAACAAAATGATCAAGTGAGGTCAATTAGGGAGAAAGAAAGCCACAGTCCAAATATTTTGCATATAATTTAGCCCAGACCATTGGGGTGTATTTAACGAGGTGAGTAACGCAGTGGATAATTGTTTCTTCCTGAGTCTCTCTTGCTCATTACAAGGTAAACTAAGATGAAAAGGTTTAATTTTGGTTACATTGGCAAATGAGCAGAGAGCGCTCCTCTCTACTCCTTCACTGTGAGACTGTTGGGGTGCAGAGCAGAAGGGGCTCCGCGAGGCGGGGGCAGGTTACCCCATACCTCACTGTGGGGTGAATTCGTGCCTGGGGCGCGGGGTCACGCAGCTGACAGGCACCGACCCGATTCAGCTGGGAAGTCCTCTCGGCCCAGAGCTTTTTTGCTGTTTCACAGAAGCTTACATTCTAATCCCAAATGAGTTTAAATGTTCGGGCTTGCGAGACCTATGGATTTCCAGTGCTTCCCAAGGTGTTGAGGAAGAAGCCTGATATTATTAGTAAGTGACACCATTTTCAAATGGATTTTGTCTCTCACTCTCTGAGCATCATGGAAAGATCCAGACCCCCGCCCCCTCCCTCCCTCTCTCTGGCTCCCTGGCACTGCTGTGCGCTTACACTGCCAGCTAGCCACGGGGAGGGCTCGCGTGTCTCTGTGGAGCCAGGGCAGGCACTGTGGCGGGGGAGCGGGTTGGGTCATCTTTTGCTGGCTGCCATGTAGACACACGAGTAAAATGGTACAAGAAACGTGCGTGTCCATGGCTGTCTGAGGGCCTGTGGCGCTGAGGCCGGGCTGCAGGCTTGGCGGGTGGCTGTGGGAAGCGAACAGTCCTCTCTCAGTTACTGATCCTCAGAAGGACAGGATGCTAGTTCTTTAAAGGACACAGAGGCCACGTCAGAGAAGCGCGGAGAAGACCGTGTAACCATCGCAACAGCCAAACGGCAGAGCACAGGCTCACGATGGATTTCCAAATTCTTTGGGGGGGGAGGTTCAAATCACTATTTTCAGTTTGACATGACGCAGTAGGAAGACAGTAATTGTTTAATCGCATTGACTTTTCCTTGTATTTTCCTTAGCTTTTCATGGACAAAATGTTCTTATGGGAGTCAACATTTCTAAAATCATTATGCAACAAGTAATAAGTAGTGTGCAAACTTACAGCCCTGATGCAAAAGTAATAAGTAGTGTGCAAACTTACAGCCCTGATGCTTTCAAAATGCCCGCCGTCCTTCTCGAAGTCAATGGGCTGCCCTCGGAGTGTCCAGTGGAAGGTCACCTCCAGGCTGGCGTCGTGGATCGCTTTGCAGTTCAGAACGACGCTCTCTCCCACGGTTAACTCCGTCCTTTTGGGAGTGAGTTCGATCCTTGTGGGCTCTGGAAGGAAGAGCACCTGGATGAGCCCCACCCGCCGGCAATCCCATTTGATCAGCTGCCAACCCCGGAGGGTGAGCATGGCGTGACTGCTCGGGGCTGGGGCTGCTGATGGGAGACTGGGCGGGTGCTGTGCTCACCCGTGGGTGCAGCACAGCTGATTAGAGCTGCGGCTGATGCAGCAGCTCCCGTGGAAATGACATGGGTGGAGGCTACTCTGGCCGCCGGAGGAGGCCCTTCAAGTAGACAAAAGGGGCTCTGCGACCAGTGCTGCAATCTCAGGAGAAGTGCCGGGCCAGGCCCTTGCCCAGAGGCTGTGAGGCAGGGGCAGTACCTTCCTCCACCCACCGTCTCTGTGGAGGAGGAGCACAGTCCTCCCTGTGCCCTGGCTCCACGGCGCCCTCTGCAGGCAGAGGAGCAGAAGCCATCCTTCTGCTGATGAAATAGCGCCTGCCGCTTGTGGTTGGTTGAATTGAGGTGTAAGAAAGACAATAACGCCGAATGGAAATGTTTCTTGAGCAAGCATATTGACCCATAGTTTCAAAAGCCATTTGATGGGTTCAGAGCCACTCAGCCAGGACCGGTAGAGCTGTGAGCAGGGCGGAGCGCGGCAGTGTGAAGTGCACCGGACGAAGCAGGGCGCGCCTTCCTCACGGCTGGAGCTGCGTGCGCCCAGGAGCGGAGGGCGGCGCTCCTAGTTCTCCTCCATGCAGGACTCTAGCCATCCTAGAAAACACCGCTCCTGACCACGGAAAAAAACCCCTTCGCCTCCACGGTCCTCCTAAGCGGGGCCTGGGAAAATGCTCCCTCGCGTGCCAGCGTCCCCGGGCGTCCCAGAGGTGCCGGAGCCGTGCGCCCTGCGGCCAGGCCCGCCGAGTCCCGGCGCCGTCGAAGACAGAGGGGCACCATGCCGTCCTCCCAGCTCAGAGAGGAGGGAAGGTTGGGGCACGTTCTAACTCACAACAAACTAATATTGGTGTTGTCTAAAATGGTGGTGTGTTCAGCAGCATCGTTTCATTATGCAAAAGACCCACGGGCTCCAAGGAGGGGGAAGGAGCCCTGGGGACGGGGTGAAGATCTTTTAAATTCTGACCTTTCCTCTCAACGTCTGCTCTTTTTCTAAGCTCCACTGTGGCTATCTACAGTACATTTTTATTTCCAAAGACAGAGAAAAATGACCGGTTTGGCATCCTCGGCGGACAGCTTGTCAGCAGTGCATACATCTGCAGGGCTGACCCTCACCCCTCCCATCGCAATTTTTGGACCTAATTTTCAAAAATATTTTCATAGCCTAATGCGATTTTCTGTAAGGAACTTGGTGGTGAAATAAAATCAAATTAGGTACACACCTCTGTTGTGAAAAATATCCTTTGTGACCTGAAGAGATTTTGCCGCTGAGATACAAGATTTTATGTCACTTGTTAGCTGTCAAACAAAAACACTCTGGGCATCTAATTTCAAACTAGAAAATGAAGAACATAATGTTTATTCTATTGAAACATAAATGTGTGTGAAGTCCGAGGCTGCAGACTGGAGTGGGCCGGCTCCCGCCAGCTCCTGCGTCCCAACCCGATGGGCAGCAGACCAGCCCCCGACGGCTGCTGATGTCATGGGGGGGCCCTCCCCCACATTCCCCACACACTCTGTGCGCGGGTCAGACCGTGCCGGGCTGCGTACTGCGTGCCTGAGCAGCTCAGGCCGGGAAGGAAACTTCCTGAGGCGTTATCGTTTCAATCGTTCTGGCAAGGCAGAATTTGAATATTTCTACCAACCATGGGTTTCCTCCTCTTAGTGTGTGTAAATGCTGGGGAGCTGGCTGGGAGCTGGGCGTGCGATGCACTGTGCATCCGTGTAGACGCACGCGCACAGGTACCCGCCCGCCCCCTGTGCCCCCTCCCCCCGCCCGCCCTGCATGCAGCCTCCTCTCCTCACCTTTGACCGACAGGGAGGCGAGGATCTCGGCCGTGCCGAAGCTGTTCTCCGCGCGGCACGCGTAGGCGCCCTCGTCCGCTCTGGACGCACTCAGGATCCGCAGGCTTCCCTCTGGAAGAATAGCTATTCTGAAAATTATTAAAAAAGGTTTTTCCTCTTTTACTGCAAATCAATGAAGAGACACGCAGCTCTGCTGAAGGCTGCCCGCACTGCTCGTGTCGGGAATAAAGCGAGATGAGGGCCGTGGCAAACGCGGGGTGAAACCAGGGAGGTTTTGCCTGGGAGATGCGGCGCGCTCGCCACGCACGCGGCTCTTCTCACGGTCAGAGGAGCGAGGGCTGCGGGTTCATTTTTCTTGTGACAGCTGGTGACAGCCAATTTTAAAACTGTGGGGAAAGGTGACCCCTGAATTTGGTGATTACAGTGGGCTGCTGTAACTACCCGGCAGTATTTCACTATTTCACCTCAAGCCAATAGTGACCTAAAATTCAAATATAAAAAGAAACAGCATAAAAAGCACAGAGGAGGACGAGTCCAGAACACAAATTAATCGTTCCCAGCGAGAGGTGATTTATGGTGCTCCCTTCGCTGCCCCTGGCCCAGGACACGAGGAAGTGACCCACTCTCCGGCCTCTTTCTGCTTATGTGGTGCTGAGGAATCGAACCCAGGGCCTCATGCATGCAAGGCAAGCGCTCTACCACTGAGCCAGCTTCCCAGCCCCTCTCCAGCCTCTCTCTAAGCTCGGGATGTGGTCAGCTCGGAGGCCCTGCTCCCCACAAGACCCTTGCTCAAGGTGGACCTTCACTTTCCCGGTAATGGTGAAAACCTAAAGAATTCTTAAACGTTGTAGAAGTTCAGGGGAAATGAGGCTGACACATTCTCCTGTGTGTTCATTGTGACAGGAGTTTGTGGATTTCAAATCTCGTGAGTGCCGGGTCCTCTTTCCCCTGCCTACCCCGAGCCGGGGTGAATCACGTTGCCGGCGCCCCCTCCGCCCCCTCCCGGCCGCCGGGCTCGGCAAGGTGCTGTGTGCCGGTTCACACTCGCTTCTTTCAGGAGTGAGGACCAGGGGGCGTGTGCGTAAGGACCAGAGAGTGTGGCGAAGTTAAATCAGCATCTCGCTCTCTTTCCCAGGCACAGTCTGTGCTGGGTGGTGTACAAGGGCGAGCCGCTTCCGATACGCGAAGACGGCGGTGGCCAGCCCGGGCTGGGTGTGTGAAGGTGTGTGTGCCGGCCAAGGCTGGGTGTGTGAAGGCGTGTGTGCCAGCCAGGGCTGGGTGTGTGACGGTGTGTGTGCCGCCCGGGCTGGGTGTGTGAAGGCGTGTGTGCCAGCCAGGGCTGGGTGTGTGACGGCGTGTGTGCTGGCTGGGCTGGGTGTGTGAAGGCGTGTGTGCCAGCCAGGGCTGGGTATGTGAAGGCGTGTGTGCTGGCCGGGCTGGGTGTGTGAAGGCGTGTGTGCTGGCCAGGCTGGGTGTGTGAAGGCGTGTGTGCCGGCCGCCCAGGCTGGGTGTGTGAAGGCGTGTGTGCCAGCCAGGGCTGGGTGTGTGAAGGCGTGTGTGCCGGCTGGGCTGGGTGTGTGAAGGCGTGTGTGCCGGCTGGGCTGGGTGTGTGAAGACCTGTGTGCCTCCCGGGCTGGGTGTGTGAAGGCCTGTGTGCTGGCTGGGCTGGGTGTGTGAAGGCGTGTGTGCCGGCTGGGCTGGGTGTGTGAAGGCGTGTGTGCCTCCCGGGCTGGGTGTGTGAAGGCGTGTGTGCCGGCTGCCCCGGGCGCTCAGCTGAGTGGTTTCTCCGTCTCTGTCCTCTGGACCCACCCGTCACCCACGCCGTTGCAGCCTCTCGCCTCACCCACAGCTGCTCACTCAGCGCACACTGCAGAGAACCCCGCGTGCGCGTGCGCATGTGCGTGTGCCCTGCTGGGACCATGGAACTGTAGAGAGACGAGAGAGGCCTGAGTCCATCCGTCCACATCTCAAACGCGCCGTGCCCTGTCACCTTGTGGCTTTACCCACAACCACCTCTAGCCAGACCCGTTCCGACGTGGACACGCGGGTGGTTCACAAGCCCTGGGGCCGGCCCTCCGTGCGTGTGCTCTGCCCCCGGGCCCGGGAGCCACCGCGCAGCCCCGGCTCCGGAGTGCAGGAGGGAGCGCGCCAGTGCCTGCGCCGAGGGGTGCGGAGGGGGGAGCCCCAGAACCGGCCCTGGAGCCCACGGACCCCACCGCCACCGACTCCTCCCCACCACAGCGTGGACGGACTCCGGTGTGACAGCGCTGGCTTCAGCTTCCCAACTTAATTTCCGACTTCCACATCCTTTTACTCCCACGGGCCACACCCCCCACCCCCGGAACCACCTCCCCAGTATCCTTAGCCAGCGTGTACTCCCCGGCCAGGCGTCCCCCTGGCCCCCTCCGCTGGCCGGTGAGGACTGTTCTCAGCGCAGTTAGCATCTGTGCATGCACACAGTCTTAGTCTTTCTCCGTCCTTCTAGTATCTTCCTCGGTGTTCCAGCACGCACACACGAGTGTGGACATGTTCCTTGAGCGAGGGGGGGAGGGGCACCTGAGTGCCCCCTGGTGCTGGAATTCCAGCCCTTCCTGGGTGGGGGTCTCCCCCTCCCCTTCCCTCCCCCCCAATCGCTGAGCACCCTGCACTCTTCCACTGGTCCCACTTTTTGAAAAACACTTGACAGCTAGAGTCAAACTGTGTGTTCACAGGATCTTTCTCTATTTTCTATTATTTTTCTCTTCTAGGCTTTTGAATTTGATAAAGCTTGTCTCCACCAAATACGTTTCTCCATCTTCCCCTGGAAGCGTTCGGCTTAGCAGTAATGAGAAATTGATCTCTCTGAGAAAAAGAAATTAAAACCAAACACAACAAAGGCAGATGAATGGTTTTGGAGCGACATCGAGGCGGGTTCAACACCTTTCCAGGGAGCGGCCTCTAAAACAGAACATGCTGTGGAGAACATTCTGGAGAAGAAGCAACGGTTGGCATGGGTGGAGACCCGTCAGCCCCGTGCTGGGGACGGTCGCCAGTCGCTCGCCACCAGCGCGGTCCCACGGGGAGCTGCGGGTGGTGGCACCGAGGACCGGCGCCGTCGACCAGCCCTAGGGTGAACACGAGCTCCCCCCGCCACCCCTGGGCTCTCCACAAACCACTGCGGGCCCAGGGACACGGCCCAGGGCAAGACCACCACTGTGCGCTATTCACACCTGAGACGCGTTTCAGTCCGTTTTAAATTATGCTGACCTAATTAGAAAGCTTGACCGCAGCTCAGCTCTTTAATATTCAAGAATACGCTTTATTTATTCTCCCTCAGAGAACAGCTGTTCCGCCGCGCAGCTCACGCCCTTGTGGAGCAGTAAGCAGATGACTTCACGGCGTTGAATGGTAGGTGTGGCGCTGTGGACCAGGGACAGGGCGCAAAGGCTGTGTCTGGCGGAGCTCGTCAACGGACCCTTAGTTTAAGTCTCTGCTTCATTCATTTCCCACATCTATAAAAATAAGGAGACTGGTTTGGCCTTGTGATACTTTGCCTATTTATCCAGGTCTGAGGGTTTTCTCCCTCCAGGCCGCCTTCCTAACCTCCTTTCTTTTCAATTGGCCTGGGACGACTCCATCTGTCTGTCTGCTTTATTTTTTTTTTTCCTCTGAATTTGCCCAGAAGTTTCTTCTCCCTGCAGTGTCTTTGTAAAGACCTTTGCCTGGTGAGGCAGACTTGCACTCCACACTTCAGGTGTGGGCCGTGCGTGGAGTATGGGGTGGTCAGGCCTGGGGATGGCGGTGGGCACCCTGAGCTGGGTCGGGGAGGCGTGCTGGGGCGGGGAGTGGAGCGATGTCAGGGAGACCCCTACTGAGAGTGACGGCCGGGCAGTTCAGTTGAAAGGCCATCACCGTCACGGGTCACCTTCCTTGGCATACTTCAGCAGACAGTGAGCCGTGTCTGCAGGGCAGCGCTGGCCCTCGGGCTCCGGGAAGCTCTGCTGCAGGCCTTGCAGTCCTCACGGTGTTGCTCCTGCCTCGGCCGTGCGTGCGTTTCCTTCTACGGGAAGATGGATGAACACTTTCCGATAGAGTTCCTGGTTACCTGCCTGCAGGGGAGAGCCTGGGTGGGAGCTGTCCCTCCCCCCTCCCCCCAGGTTCACTTGTCATCTCAATTTTCTTCACAAAATGCATCGACTCGATTTCTCTGTATCCACGGAAGGGAGGCTTCCCGAGTCCCGAGCGCGCACGAGTTTCCTGTTAAACAGCAGCCGTGTGGCGCTTGGAGCAGGCCTTCCTCACGGTCTGCAGGCAGGGTGAGGCGCCGCCTGCCGCCTGTGAGCTCAGCTAACTTTGGGGAGCCCCTGGCTTGGCATCGCGTCTGTCTGTGGGGACCCAGGGCGAGCTGGTGTGGCGTGAGACACTGTCGGGAGGGCTGGGCAGGCAGAGCTCGGGTGACAGCCGTACTCTGAATAGTTGAAGACGACACGGATTTACACCGTGGCACAGTTACCAGCTCCTTCATGAAAAAAACAGCAGAAATCAGGACTTGTGGGGCCCAATCCTTTTCCTGCCCCATTGGCTGTGTGCCGTGAGCAAGCCATTTCACTACAGCGCAATTCCTTTCACTCTACAATGAGGAAGGCAGTCTAACAGCGTCTCCTGTCTTTCTGTCTTTTACACCGTAGCATTCCAGGCTGAGGTGATTCATTGGCAAGCCCTAGGAGAAGAAAGGCGGGGTCTCGGTTCAGAGAGCTGAGAGCTGCCGCTGCTGCACGCAGACCCGGCTGCGCTGCGGCCCTCGCCGGCCAGCTGCCCCTTCCGCCGGCCCAGCGCGCGGGAGGCGTTCCCACTGATTCAGAACGGGAGCCTGGAGGGGAGCCGGAGTTAATTTAAAAAGTTCTTCCTGACGTAATTAGCATCGGCCCTGAGGGGCCACCTGTGCGAGCCCGCGGCTGGCTTGGAGGTGAGCGGAGACGCCGGCCCTCCATTGTGCAGAAGGAGCAGCAGCTCTGCGTCTTTCAGAGAGCACAAACGCCTTTCTACTTCTGAGTGTGCTCTCGAGTGTGACAGTGGCGCGGGTGACCTCGGGCCTCGCACTTGCCAGGCAGGTGCTCTGCCACGCGCGCCCCTTTTTTGAAGGGGGGCC